CCCCCCCCCCCCCCCCCCCCCCCCCCCCCCCCCCCCCCCATCCTTAGAGGGGATCTCAGGTGTCCTAGATCAGGTATCTCTCACCTCTTTCCCCAGGACTGGGGGGATGGACAATGGGTCCTATCGGATGACACTCCAGCTCCTCAATGAATCCCTTGTGTCACCCGAACTTTGGACATGAGAGGTGGTTGTCACAGAGACCAAGGAGGGGGGAGGGTGTGTGGAATGGGAACCTGAAGCCTGGGTCTGATGGGGGGATAAGGGGAAGGGGGGCTGGCATCTCCTATTACAAGCCCCATCAGTGATCACTGATGTGGAGGTCCTGAGGAGCCAAAGGAACCTTGGGTTTTCCCCCACAAACATGTCCATGGACCCTTTGGGAAGTCTTGAAGAGTACAGTTTGATATGTGATGTCTCTGAAAGGTGTCAGCTCAGTAGAGACTTTATAGATGGTAGAGTTGAAAAATGCTGAGGAAGGAGGGGAAGAAGTAAGGAAGTTAGGAAAGAAAGAGAAGAGGGAAAAGTTACTGAGGGTTACTGAGTAGAGAGGGAGGTGAGTGAGACACTCTTCCTAGAATCCTCCACACCCCACCTTGGTGCCCATTCAGAGAAACTTTTCATCTCTTGTTCTTGGCTGTTATAGGGGTTTAAACATGAGGCAAAGCATGGGAGTGGGCTCAGGCCCTGGAGTGAAGGAATAGTTCTCTTATTTTGGAATCTCAACCTCCCCAGCTCCCAGGGGCTTGGGAACAGCTGCCCAGTCTTCTACTTGGCTCATGCCAGGGCTATTTACCCCAGAAAAAGCAGAGTAAAGGCCTAGGTCTCAGATATTTCAATCCTCCACCCTCAAACCCAAGAGAGAGATGAACTGGCGTTTAGGAAGCCCCAAAGATGGAGGGGGAAATCTTGGGGATTCCTTAGCTAGAGGGGATCCTTTTATGAGGAAGGGGCTGTATTGCTTTTGCTTTTGGAGAGTAGAGAAATCTGTCCTCCCATCTCACCGTTTAAGTCCCCAGGGAACTGGGTCCTTCCTCCATGGATGGACCCTTCAGATCCTTCACTCAGCCCCAAAGTGCCCTATTGCTCACTGATAGTCCCCTTCAACTGAGCAACATTTCCAGGCTTTTGCAGACCACCATCCCCCTTGTAGTTAGCACACCCTCTGTATCGGAGAAAGCAAAATACTCACGGGTGGGTTCGGGGCTGAAGGGGGAGCAGATGAGAGGGGCGAAGCTGCGTGTCCTGTGACTAGAGCCGGTGTGGGGAGATCTCTCTTCAGGCGTCCTTCTCCCCACTCTGGACACCCCCTCCTACCTTTAGCTCCACCCCCCTCATCGGGCTGACAGCCAGTGGGGCAAACAGCCAGCTAGCAGACAGAAGCACCCTCTGTCTCCAGAGTTGGGACAAGCTGGCCCTGTTTTACCTTCTCCCCCAGGTCTGGGTTGTTTTTTTTTTTTCTTTTTTTTTCTTTTTAAAAACATTCCTTTCCCCACATGCATGCTAGCAATCCACGGGGGTTCTTGGTTAATATTGATGCCAATTCAGCCCTAGCACAGAGCAGAGAGGGTAAGAAAGGATAAAGTAGCGGGAGAGAAAGAGGTAAGATCAGAGACCACGGGATGTTGAACCCTTCTGGTCCTTGGACCGCCCCGTAACTAACTGTCCGTAGCGGCGAGGCATGGTCACACCTATGCCCTATTGAGCAGCAAAAGAAGGGGACTCCTCCAAGGGCCTCATCTCTAGAATTCCTCAGAAGACGGTGCCTTCTTTACTCTTAATTTTACCAAGAGCTAGCTGGGATGCACGAATTAGGACTTTTTTGAGGGGTTGGAGTGGGGGAGATAAGAGTGAGATGGCGAGTGAGCGAAGGGATTTAAAGGACGAAGTGAATGGAGGTTGGAGGTGCATACTGCAAGCTCGGGGTGGGAGCTATGTCTCTAGGGCTGGAAGGGTGGATGAGACCAGGAAAGTGAGGCTTGCTATTTGTTTGCTTCAGGGAAGGGGCATAGAGGTGTAAGTTGTTTGTGCAGAAATGTTGATGATGCGCTGATGGGTGAGGAGGAGTGGGTGGGCGTGCCCTTTGCCGAAGTTCACCACGGGAAACTCAATACTTCGGGATATACACGGAGGACTCTGTCTCCCCAGCTCCACCTCCTGGGCGTTTATAAACCTCAGCCCATCCCTACTTCTGCTTGAGGCAAAACCAGAGGGTGAGTATCAAACCTACTTCACCTACTCCTTTTGGAGTGGGGTGGATGAGGGGCCCTCTTCCCCAGGAGAAAGATGAGCCCCTCCCCCCAGTCCTGGAACTGGGAATTCAGGAAGTGACTTCGGGGCTCTGAAGGAGGGGGTGGGGGGAACTAGTTCTTGAAGGGGATGAACTAGTTGGAAGAGGGTCGGATGTAAGTTAGAGAGGTCTTGGAATTTCCCTTTTTCTCCAACCCTCTATCCTCTTAGAACCAAACTGTGGAGGCGGTAAAGAGATCTTTAGTTGGCAGCTTAGTTCCTGCGTCCGATTCAGTAGCTTAAAAGATGGGAGGAGCCCTGTAGCTAGGACCCATTACCGTTAGCTTAACTTCGGAACTGTCTATTTTGGAGAGGGTCCATATCTTCCTGCTCTTTGTACTGAGAAACATCTGAATGTTTTCCATGGGGACGTTGAAAGACACTGGTTGAGATGATACCAACTTTGTAGTTTGTGGTGCAGATTCCGGGTCTCTTGGTGGGGTGGAAAGAGAGCATCTCTGAACCTCCCTGACACCTTACTTAATTTCAGGAAGATGCCTTAGGAAAAGCTGAGGCAGAGACATTTTAAATAACCTTATGTGTCAGAGTGCTAGACTCCAGACAGAGATTGCTAGCCTGATTGCCCACAAAGAGAGACACCCCCTCCCCACCCCAGCCTAAGACTCCTCACAGGTTTGGAGACAGGTCTCTTTCTAGGTCTCTAAAATGTCCAACAGAGATGGGGGAATGAATAGGTAATACCTGGGCAGGGTTCCTCCCTAGAAGTTACCTTTGGATATTCCTTTCTCCTCAACCAGCTTTAGATCCACAGTTAGTCCAAGAGCAAGCTTCCTCACCCCTAGCCTCCTCCATGGCTGCTGAGCCACTGACAGAGCTGGAGGCGGCTATTGAGACGGTGGTGAAAACCTTCTTCACCTTTGCTGGTCAGGAGGGAAAGAAAGGCAGCCTCAGTATCAATGAATTTAAAGAACTGACCACCCAGCAGCTGCCCCACCTCCTCAAGGTAACTGGGAACCCAGGGGAGACTGGGAGGATGCTGTGACAGAGAGAAGATAGTTTATGATGGAATATGATGGCTTGCGTGGACGTGATTTTGTAGGTACTTGACAACTTGTGTGACACTGTTGGTGTGGCAGTGTGTCTGTAAATGTGATTGTGTTACAGCTGTGGAAGACAATGCAGTTAAGTGTATTTGAGCAACGCACTGTGTGCTTGTTTTCTTGGTCTTACCTGGGATAATCCGATGATTTCATACTAGACTAGAAACTATCTCCAAGGATGTAGATCCATAAGTACTCAGTAACTTGGGGAATGGCCCCAGGGCACAGGGAGTTTAAGTGACTTGCCTATCTATGGTCACACAGTTCGAGTGGATCAGAATTGGGCCTTGAGCCTTGATCTTGATATGTCATGTTGCTTCTTACATGTGTTTAGATGAATGAAATCTTGTGATTTTGTGCAACTGTGATTGTCTGGGTGTGGTGGAGTGTAAGCCCATGACTGTGACGCCTATAAAATTTAACACTGTGCATTAATAAGGCTTTTTTCTCCCTGACTGGAACATATCATCTATGACAGTAGAGACTATGTCTTATATGTACTTTTTTATATTCCCCATATTGGCTAGCATGATGCTGGGCATTCAGTAAGAACTTCATAAATACTTAAAATCCTGTAGTGTTAGATGTAGAAGGAACCTTGGTGATGATCTAGCATAACCTTTTTGTTTTATAGATGAGGACATTAAGACCCGAGGATTTTTTCAAGGCCATACAGCTAAGCCTTAGAGATAGTTTATTCCAACTTCTAACCCAAAACAGAATTGTCTTTACAACATTTCTAACAGATGGGTCATTAAAACTGAATACTTGTCAATCAATCACCAAGCATTTATCAAGAGTCTACTATGTGCCAGGCACTGGGCTAAGAACTGTCACATCTAGTAACAAGGAGGTCATTATTTCAACTTTCATTATAGAATTTTAAAAATTATTCTGAATGTAAACATTTAAAAATGCAGATTTCCATTTATATAGTAGAAAAGAAAAAGGAAAAGAGAATTGTACACTATCATGGAATCTTACTAGTTTCAACCTACCTGTGAGATCTTTTTGCATACTAATTCTGTTAGACAACGTATTAGGTCTTCCTCCCAGCATCATCCATCATCTGTCATTTGGTAGGCATGGTTTCTGTGTATCCAAGTTGTTGACAAAAATACTGAGCTGATGATAGAGTTGGAGACATGTTGATAGACAACTTCCACACTGGTATTGATCAATCAACACTCTTTGGGTACAGCTGTTCAACCTGCTGTCAACCTACCTAGTTATCTTCTCTTCTAGCACGAGGATATCTTGAGAGGTTTTATAAAATTCCTGTCTTGCTGAAGCCTGGATATATTACATCATTATCATTCCCCTGATCCTAGTAATTCTGATGAAAAAACAAATAAGGTTAGGGGTGTGTGTGTTTCATTGAACTTATGATTTCAATAGTATAGGGAACTCCCCTTACCTATTAATGTACATCAACAACTTTTCAGCAACTTAATCTTAAAAAGTTACTCAAGGTATTTTGAAGTTAAATGATTTGCCTTGGGTCACATAACAACCAGTATGTGTCAGAAGAACTTGAATCTTCCTGACTGGGGATGATGCTTTATCCATTATGCCATGCTGCTTCTCAAAGATAGGGTTATTCCAAACTAAATAACAGACGACTATTTGAGAGAGAATACACACACACACACACACACACACACACACACACACACACACACACACACTGGAGGCAACTAGATGGTACAGTGGATAGAGCACTGGACTTGGAATCAGGAAGACCTGAGTTTAAATCCAGCCTCAGAAATGTCCTAGATGTGTAACCTTGGGTAAGTCACTTAACCTCTGTTTGCCACTGGAAAAGGAAATGGCAAACCATTCCAGTATCTTTGTCAAGAAAACCTCTGGACAGAGGTTTATGAGATCACAAAGAATTGGACAGTACTGAAACAACTGGACAACAACACACACATATAGGTGAATATATAGACATATGTATATACATACACATGTTTATATGTGTGTGTATGTATAGGTGTGTACATATACATATACTTTTATCTCTCAGGTAGGAAGGAGGAAGAAGAATGTGGTGAAGGTATCTTTTAAATTTTTTTCCATTTACATTTAAAAACAATTTAACATTCTTTTAAAATTAAGTTTTGAGTTCCAAATTCTCTCCCACCTTCCCCATTTATTGAGAAGCAAGCAATTGGATATAGCCTACGCAATGCAGTTATGTAAAATATATTTCCACATTAGTTATGTTGTGAAAGAAAACACAGACCCTTTCCTCCAAAAAAACACCAAGAAAAATAAAGTTAAAAAAAAAAGCATACTTCAATCAGAATTTAGACTCCAATCAGATTTTTCTCTGGAGGTAGATAGCTTTTTTCATCATGAGTCCTTTGGAACTGTCTTAGATCATTGCATTGTATCATTGTATTATAAGAATAGCTAAGTCATTCACAGTTGATCATCATTCAGTATTGCTGTTACTGTGTATAATATTCTCCTCATTCTGCTTATTTCACTTTGTATCAGCTTGTGTAAGACTTTCCAGGTTTTTCTGAGAGCATTCTGCTCATCGTTTCTTATAGCACAATAGTATTTCATCACAACCATATACAACAACTTGTTCATCCATTCCCCAATTGATAGTCAGACATCGAAGACACCAAGGCCATTCACCCCATCCCTGGTCATCTTGAATTTTGTCTTGCAACTGGACTTCAATGACTCTAGAAGAGAGAGGCTGAAGACTTTGTGCAGCTCTGCATCACTTAAGTCCAGTTCACTCACAAGTCAAGACATCACACCATGATGTTATTGGTCCTCTTTGAAAACAAAGGACAAGCATCTTTCTTGCTCTGAATTCTCCTACCCATCCACCTATTCGCTATCATTTTCTCTGGTTATCAGTGGGTTAGAAAGAATACTGGGTTAGGAGCTCAAGGTCCAGCTCTACCACTAACTCATTGTGCAACTTTGGGTAA